ATTAATTAACTTTATATTATTATTAATTAATAAGATATTTATATTCTTTTAATAACTATATAAATTAATTAAATTTACATTATTATTAATTAATTAAGTACTACGAGTACATGTTCTTCTAAATTTTTTTCCCGGGTAATATTGGTTTGTGAAAAATGCTTCAAAAATGCGAATTTGAAATTTTAAACCCGGTTTCGATGACCACACCATAGTTAAATTCAGACGTGAATTTTTCCAAAGTTATGTTGTAAGTGTGGGGGCCGTAAGTGAAAATTGTGTTTTATGCGGGAAAAATCAACAACCGTCGCACAAAAACGCGACACATGTCCCCAAAGTTACTTATTTATTAGTATTATATATATATATATATATATTATTTTTCAACGAACCATTGTAACCATATTTATAACTTATAAATATGGTTATAGCGGTTCGTCGAAAATAACAACTTTTATTCTTGTAGTTATGAAATTATAAAATAACAATCGTGGTTTGAAAAAACGTCATAACTTGGTCCCTTCATCTAATCAAGAGGGACATTTTCGTCTATTCTGATTTTATCCTGATTTGATTGATCACTAAATGAGGGGTATTTTCATTCTTTTATCATTTTCTATCCAATTGAAATCGATGCTATGATTTTGGTCCTTGTGGTTTTTATTTGATAAAAGATGAATTGATAGAAAAACGAAAATGACTTTCATTTAACGTAATCTTTTAACGGTCGTTAGAGAAAATGACCAATCCTACCAAACTTGGACATATTTGCAAACCACGATAACAATCTTATAATTTCGAAACTATATAGATGAAAAGGGTTACTTGTTGACAGATAACCTTGAAAATAATCGATCAGTATTGGATCTTCTATATCAAAACCAGTTGTTACACAATCAAAAGAAATACCAGTACAAGATAATGATGTATGAGGTTACATTTTGCCTCGTTTACAATATATCTAAGATGGGTAAGAATTAGCTACTATTAACAACACTCTCCCGATAGCTTAAAAACAACCGAATCAGCCTGTTTATTGATTTTAATTAACCCTGTTTGAACGATATAAATATTTTTATAAATCAACACAACGTAAACAGTTAAATTCGATCTCAAACGAGAACAATGACCAAATAAGAGAACACGAGATAACACCAAATTACACGTGATTACATTTTTGGGTCGTTTAAAATATGTAAAACCGAACTTACCCACGTCCCAATCGCTCTCCTGAAGGTATATGTGCATCTAAAAGATCTTTCAAGTCGAATCGTGAGCCTATTAGTGAAGCGTTAAAGTCTGCATTGAAGCCCTTACAAGCTAAAAAAATTAGCTAATGTTAGCAAAACTCTCGAGAGAGCTTAAAAACAACTGAATCGACCCTTTCATAGAACAAAAAACAACTGAATCAACCCTTTTATAGAACAAAAAACAACTGAATCAACCCCCTTATAGAATAACTAACTCCGTTTGAACAATATAAATATTTTTTACGAACCACAGACAATATAGACATTTAGAGACGAGTTCAAACGAGAACAATGATCAAATAAGAGAACGCGAGATAAAACCAAATTACATGTGACTTTACACTAAACTCACATGTAAAATCACATGTGATTATTCACGACCTAAGTCGCTGGCCAAGTCAACCACACACCATTACACCAATCGTTTTCTATAATCACATGTGATTTGACAGTTTTCATGTTCTTTTATTTTGATATTGTTTCTGTTTGATTCTTCTTCTTGACAATTCCTGATCAATTTAATATTATTGTTATTGTTATTTTAATTTTAGTTTTAGTTTTCCTATATTCTAAAATTTAAAAAATAAGGCAAATTGTATGAAAAAGGTAACGTAATTTAACTTGATTTTTATTTTGGGTAACGTACTTTCAAAACTTTCATTTTGATAACTAAGATGTAAAGTTTTAAATATTTAAATATCCAGGTACCTGGTTGGAGTATTAACCGTTACCATGCTGATGTGACGAATGATGTGGTATCCGGTTAATGTTTCAACAAATAATACTCAATTGGATATCACATCACTCGTCACATTAACATGATAACCGGTTAATACTTTAACCGGTTACCCGAATAAGGTTTTGAAAGTACGTTATCCAAAATAACTATCAATAATTTGCCCTAAAAAAATAATATTTTTTAAATTAAAAATTAAAAATTTGGGAAGAAGAAGAACAAAATCCCCGTTTTGTGGTATATGTTTATCCTTATTTTCCTTTCATTCTCCGTTTTACATGCAAACCATCATCGTCCTCCCATCTCTCTCTGCTAACAATCAATCTCCATCTCCATTTTCGTTTCTCGAAAATCCCCACATCAGATATCAAATCCCGCCAAAACAAATATAATTCGCTTTGAAGAAGAAGAAGAACAACAACAAATCGCTCAATCTCTTCACCACGTTGTCTTCATCTTCAACGTTTAAATTAAGCCTCCCTGCTCGAATTCAAAATGGTTCGAGCAGCGGAGGAAG